TTTAAAATTTTATCGGGTATGTTTATTCTTGATAAAAGTTTGAATTCTTTTCGAAAATGAAACGAAACAATATTTGCCATGCCCGCAAAAGACCGTTATATGTTCTAGTAAAAACCAGTTTCAAATTTTACAAACATTAGTCTGTTCGAAAGTAGGAAAGTAAAATTTTACGCGTATCTTGATATCACTCGAGAAATCGCTTGACCTTCTGAAAGAGTGCCATACATTAATTTAAACCCTGTCAGACGAACGTTACGATGACAACGTATGGGATGCCTTATATAAGGATGTTGATTTAGAAGGGGAAAAACATACTTCCCTCTTTTCCGAGAGGAGCTGCAAGGCAGATGCATCGAGGAATGCGCCGGCAACAACCATTTGTGAGTATTGGAAGAGAAATTTGTATCTGCCGTTTATTCACCATCTAGTCACAGAATTAACTGATAGGTTGGCATTGAATCAGCAAATTCATTTGCCTACAAACCTTCCAAGCATAAACGATAGGCAGCTGTCTCTGATGTACGCATCGTTCTGTGATGCCATACCGACCATTGACAATGTGCAATTTAATAGGGAAGCTCAGCGATGGAAGGTCAAAGGCAAGACGTTACCATGTCAGAGAAACCAGCAACAATCACTGCAACACTGGTCGCAGCAAGGAACCGAAATTTTACCTGAATGTCTTCAGGGTGTCTACATATTCTCCTATGTATGCCTGGTACGTCTGCAACTGCGGAACGTTCTTTCAGTATCGTGCGTCGGCTAAAACATCTAAGATCAACCATGGACGGAGAGAGAATGTCTTCTCTGGCATGGTTACACGCGTATCGTGAATACCCCATAGCTTAAGACAAAGTAGTGATCCAGTTTGTAGAAGCAAAACAACGACGATAGACTTTTGTATAGTAATCAAGGAACGTAATTGAAGTCATGGGAATATATCGTTGTGAATGTGTGAATACTTTTGTATGTACATTTAAGACTACAATACAAAATTTTTAAAAAATAGAAATAGTGACAACTAAAATACACCCCTTAGTTACCACTTATTACATTTTTGTCTGGTTTCTCTTCGGATTATGTTAGGGAATAACTGTGAAATTCAATAACATGTTTTACAACATATCACAGAATGTTAGTCATGACTTTCACGGTATGTGTTGTGTATTAAATTTCTCTTGAAATGCATTATTGTATTTCTCACTTGTATATCTCAAAATTGTTCATATGTCGACGTCACTTCTGTACATCTAGAAATACCAAAAACTCCCGGGAGACCACCATACCCCCTACGAGAGGGATGCTTCCAACTGCCCTTCTCACCTCTCGTATTTTCCTGGTCTCATGCCTCGACACTCTGTCGGACTTTCGGTCCCACCGGGCTTCCATATTCATTTTGGTCTGGCTACGCGCCTGATGTTTAATGTAATTCAGTAGGCACACTGTGCAACGTGATATTTAAAAAGATAATCGTTTTTAGTGCATCATAACACAGCATGTATATACACGGCACATAAAATCCCCCGGCGGTGTATAGCGCAGCTTTTTCCCTACGACTGCGAGCTGTATGCGTGTAGACATGTATTACATAATCTTTCTAGGTTATGATAATATCGACATTTAGGACCAGTGTGTGTGGGGAATCTCAGTGAAATTTTGATGTGTAGAAGGGACAGCGAGCTGGAGTCTATTAGGGGTTTAGGGTTGGTTAAGATGAAGACTGGAGTGCACGTTCTTTTGTTTTGGTAGGAACATCACTCATTACATAGTGTTAAGGTCTACCTGAGTTAGTTTTCAAGGCTGGTCGATAAGATTTTAGGGCCGGTTCTTGTGTGAAGGGGTACATAAAGGTGAGACACTAGTGGAGGAAGAGAATGGTAAGATCTGGAGTGTGCATGGTAGTAATTAACAGTGTTTTACATACTGATATATGGATAGTGAGAGCGTTTGTGACTTAACGTGTAATGTCTGATGATTCACGTTTATTAGAACTACATGATAAAATTTAGAATACATGTCTTACTCGTGTTTGTCAACTTTATTTTGGCGTGAGAAGAGAATAATTAAACAAGAATCAGGGCCACGAATGACTACGATTTCCGAACCGGGAGTATTCTTGGATAAGACCGTAGGAGCACCGTGGCGATCGTATATAACCTTGTTTGTCCGTAATGTCCAAAACAATCGTGGCGATGCTCGATTTGATTTTTACCCTAGCGAATTCGTAAGTTAGTTGTAGGTTATCGTAGGTCCATCCTGAAAGCATCAGTGGCTATCCTTGACTATAAATACCGACCATAACTCTAGATCCTTCTACTTCATCTCCTTTTCTCAAATAGAAGATATCTGACAAATAATGATAGAACACACATGGAATGTGGCACTCAAAACAAAACAAAAATCCAAAAGACCACTCTTGTTCAAAAAGTTCCGCAGCTGGAACATGAAATGCTTTCCTATGACGGAAACAAAGGCGTGAGTATCCAAGAGGAGGACGCCGCACAGTCCAGCCACCAATTAACACAGGAGGTCACCCAATGTGACAAAATTAAAAAAGAAAAAGACCAGTTTAATGTTGACTCACGAACAAGAAGAAGATGTTCTAGAATGGTTGCGAACCAACTAGCTGCTATACAGCAAAGGTAGTCGTGACTATAAGGGCCAAGCCAAAAAGACAAGGACATGGGATGAAAAGGCCAAAGAAATGGATATACCTGGTATGCTTCATTGCCATGTAGCGTTCTGTTTTAAGAAACAGTTGGTTTTGAGTAAGTTTTCTTAAAGTAATTTTGAATTACATGAATAACTCTGATTGATATAAGTTGTATTTTATGAAAATCAAATTATATTCCGCTTATTATTTGAAACTAAATACAGGTCTTAAACATGTTAACGATTAAATGTTGATTTTGTTCTAATTACAGTTACCGACCTGAAAATCTGGGTTGGGTCTATGTGTACGAGGTATGGAAAACTAACATCAAAGAAATATGGTTATGGGACCCGTGAACATACCGAATGGGACGATGCATTGTTGAAAAGTTTCAGTTTCTGGAAATTCATATCATTCATGTACCAAACAGGCAGGCTGTTAGTGTAAGTTTCATGACAGGTATTGTTTTCCAAGATTTGTGCCCTCGGGCGGCTCAGTTGGTAGAGCAGTGACTCACATGTTGCATTTGACATCCCAAGTGGATTGTGTAGTCAGTTTGATGAAGATGTTCCTGAAGAGGATGACAATGACATATCAGAAACTCCCTGCAGACCGCCAACTAGAAAGCAAATGAAAACCATTGGACCTGAATCAGAGGCTGTTAGTAAACTTATGGCGATGTCCGACATTGCTGTCAAGACCCAGACGAGGATAGATGAGCTGGTAACGGCAGCCGACTCCGCTTCTTCTAGTCGCACACTCTGATCAGGTTATGCATTACATCCAACAGTCAACTCAGATAAGAGAACAAGAACAGTGGCAATTGAATCAGTCATCTCAACAGTGTGTACAATTCCATATATCGTTAAAACCATTGAGCTTGAGTCGAGAAAAAATGTTATCCCCATGTTATTATCATCCTGATTTCAGAATAAAAAAAAAATGTTATTTAAAAAAAGCAAAAGCTGTAAAAGCAGAAACTTAATTTACTGCATTACCTGTCCAACTTGTCTCGAAAACTACATTGGACAGACAGGAAATGCCCTATCTGAAAGAGTTCGGGTTCACAGACAGGACATACGCTCACCGGAAACATGGAATATCCCGCTGAGTGAACGTTTGGACATCTGCGGCAAATGAAACTTTTTGATATACCCGTTCTATAAGATGTCAGAATCTACAACGTCAAAACGAATCACTGAAGATTGGGTTGGGACACAATTAATCACGTTATTAATTCCCCTTTTATTATAACAATAGCATTACGTCACAATGTAGGTTACTAAGTAACGTACAGTGTACATGTAATGTACTCATCTGAAGATGGCGGCGAGGCCTGAAAACATTAGTGATATATTTGTTTGTCATGATAAGTGATTAATTTTCTCTGTATATATGATGCACAAAGTTTTTTTTATCTTTTTAAGTTATATATATAAACGTGAAAATAAAAAACAAAAGATTCAAAATCAACAGAATATGAAGCAACCTTTAATCTTAATCCTGTAAAGCTTTTATTTGTCGGCATATTTTTTATCTGATAATTAATAGCACATGATTTCACTGTTTGATTTGAATACCTAATAGCTCTTCAGGGCTTAAGAATTATGCTCTTTATTTGCAACAAAACATAAAATCCTTGTTTGTTTAAATGGCTTTATCTATACTGAAAATAAAAAAAAACATATGTTTTACCAGAGGCTTGCCTAGATGTAGATCCCTGTATACATTTGAAAGGTTAGTTTTCAGATAAAATTGAGTTATCACTTATCAAATGATACAAGTTTAATTTTTCCTGATGTACAGACGAATCGATATTCAACAAGGGATTTTTTTTTATTTCAGAATATCTTATTGTCTTGGTGGTATTGACAATAGGAATTGGGCAACAGGCAGAGCCTATGAAAGCCCTCTCCTTACAGTGCATAAACAAGTATACAGACCCATCAATCAAAATTAAAGATAACAAATAAAAATAATATTAGGAATAAGAATGTAGAAGATAGATTCAAATGGATGATTAGATAACAGAAATGCAAAATAGGCATCACCATCATTTGTATTATTGAGTTCCAGAGCAGTAACTAAAAAGTACAATTAGGTATCACAAGATACATTTAAATTTATTTGTATATTATGAAGATTTCAGTTGAAGGACAAATACTTTTGACATAATGCACATGAGAACCTATAAATCTTTGCAAAGGATTTGGTTCTTACGTCATGCATCAGTGACATTTTCATGTGCCTATATGTAGGTCCCTGCATACATTTGAAAGGTTAGTTTTCAGTTGAAATTGAGTTATTACCTATCAAATGATGACAATTTTTTGCGATATTCAACAAGTGATGTATTTAAATTTATTTGTATAAATGTTTTTGACATAATGTACATGAAAATCTATAAATCTTTGCAGAGGATTTGGTTCTTACATCATATTGTTCAACTTCTCAAGACAAACCTACATTTAGCTGGAAAGTACCCCAAATTGTAGAATATCACTACTCGAGCCTCCTTTACACAATGTGTCATACCACAACAACGAAAATGAAAGTGATTTTAAAACAAAATCCCTCCACTAGAATTAATATTGTATAACAATTCGGAGTATAAGATATAAACATATATAGTGAAGTCTAAAATAAATATTCATTAACTACCCGCAAATTTCATTTTGCACTAAATTGGTGTACAACTACATGGAAGTAAAACAATCATGCCATTTCCTGATCTTAGTCACTTGACGACTGACAATTTCTTCTCAGATGTTCTATCCACATGTCACTCCAGTGTACCCATAGGACACTCACCGTGGGTTCAAAGCTCTATTTCCCATCTTGGACTCCGCTCTTCTTCGCCAAGAAGATCATCCTTGCCGAATTTAAATCCATTTTCCCCAAAAATGATTCAAACTCAATTTGGATAAAATGCTTTCATACTTTTAAAATAAGGAGTTTAAATATTCAGTAGTGTTGGGTCTTGCCCCTCAGAAGCTAGGATCCACACACATTATTTGAATTAAATTCAGTCCGCTTCACAAAAGAATGGTTTACATAAAATTTGGTAAAAATCAGCACAGTCGTTTAAGACGGTCAGTAGCAAAACACATGGCCAGTACAACATAAACAACATCCTTTAGTTCATTTGCAAAATATATGCACTCGTCTATATGTATATATCAACAACATAATACTTCATAGTAAACATCCGACCGCATATGTAATTATTAGGCATGTTCTGGATTAAATATGAGTTGCTAAATAAGTGTCTCTATACAAATGATTGATCGGGACCAACCCTTCGCACTTTACTTGTTTGGTGTTTGATTAACGAATGTTTCTAAAGTGTCGTCAATCGCTTCAATCCATCGAGTGTGGTGTTTTATCCCTGGAGTGCCAGTAAAGACTGAAGAAAATACTTGATCTCTGTAAGTTAAAACATCAGCATACTTATCATCTTCCCATTTATCAAATAGGGCTTTGACATTCAGGTTGTGTTGACAGCCTACCTCTTTGGCTAGGTCACAAACAAATTCCGTCTGAAAGAAGATATCGTCATAGCAATCCTTCAGTGCTGCCTCTTTCTTCAGCCATTTCGATATGTCAGACTCCATTTCATCCCGAGTTGGAAGTTTTATGGAACCTTTTATTACTGCACATGCCCACTCCGCCTGAATATCAAACATGGTGAAGGAGTAGTACTGATCCTGCATACCAAGGTACATCAGCTTGTTGTTTCCGTCACCCATCCATACTGTCCCCTTGTATAATCCGGGTGGGTACATTCGTAGCCCCGTCTTTAGGCAAAGAGTCTCCGACAGAAACGGATACTTATACAGATAGCCGGTGCAAAATATTATGGCATCGACGTCTGCCGTGGTTCCATCTTTGAAGTGGATTGTATTCCCATCAATTTTGGTCAAATTAGGACGTTCTTCTATTCCTTTTGGCCACTTGAAACCCGTCGGTTTAGTGCGCCAGCAACATATGACATTTCCAGAGCCCATTTTCCGACATTGCATTGCTAAATCCTCTGCGGAATAGCTTGCGCCAACTATCAAAAGTCGTTGACCTTTGAACTCGCTAGCTTTCCTAAAATCATGCGAATGAAGTATTCTGCCTGGGAATGTCTCTGCTCCATCAAATTCAGGAACATTTGGGACTGAGAAGTGACCATTAGCTACCACGACATGGGAAAATGTTTCTGAAGGGAGAACCATGTCACTTTTGAGATCCTTAACTCTCACCGTGAAGTCGTCAGTCTCCTTATTGTACGTCACACTCTTCACGAGCATATTGAAACGTACTTGATTGCGGATATTTGCCTTTTCCCATCGACCTACAAAACAGAAAATGGAAGTTGGAAGTGATATAGGTATAGTTAGTTCCAGTTGTATTTCACGGAAACAATATGTAGTTGCACACATCTGAACGTCTACGTAAATCACACAATCTTCTTTATAGCAATATATTTTGATTTCTTTATCAAATTACATATATGGAGCATATATTGAATTTTTACCTTTTAAGTAATCAAACAAAACAGCTCGAGGCGGAAAAGACGGTATAACTTTCCCGAAATGATCCTCAAAAGTGTAGTCTGGATATTCCAGGCATTCCTTTGGTCCATTGGACCAGAGGTCCTGATACATACCTCCATGGCAAGGCTCTCCATACTCGTCTAAACCTATTGATGAAATAAAATATGCGTACAATGAAAATCCTGGCTAGTATACCAACCATTGGCTAACAAGTCCCGATGTACCCACTGTCAGACTCTAAGCATTCCTTATCTGGTCGCAAATTCAACGCAAAGGCCGGGGGCGAGGTGTGTCAGATGAAACCTTAAGATATCAAAAAAGTATATGTAAATTTATCTTTGCCTTGTTAATCATCAGTATGTTTATCTTATTCATCTTATCATCTTACCAAAATTCATCTTGAACTACTAAAGTGTTAAAATTACACCAGGTCAATAGGTAATTTGAATATATTAGCTATTTTTCGGCACATATATATACTGAGTGGAAAAAGAAACAGAATTAGGAATTTCCAGGTCAACTACGGGAAATAGAAAAGGGTTTTATAATGTAATTATGGTGTAATTGAAAGATAGTTGACCATTGTCATCTACGAGAATTTCATTCGTGTACTTTAAGTAAACCTTTCAAATTTGACGTTGATTCAAGACTATCCCACTCAAAATGAAGTGCGTTCTGGACCCATCAACATCGTGTGTTAATTGAAAACCTGGACTCATCTAAGAACAGGACCCTTCTCAAACGTTGCATTGGAAAGCATCCGACGGGATGTGCGTTCAGCCATTGTATTCGTCTGGCACGTCGCCGCGCATTAAGCTGTGATCGATCATATGGCCGCCGCGGTCTTAGACCGAAGGCACGCAGTCGAGTACGCACTTTCTTTGGATCAATTGGAAGATGATGACACCCAATAGTGTTCCTTTCTGTTTTCTTGGCCGTCAGGAAGCGATTGCGTAGGTGCGAAAGTCGCATTGCCGTATCCTGCCGACGCGTCGTCACACGAGGGCGACCGCTTCGAGGACGGTATGCAACCCTTCCGGTGGCATGTAGTCTTTGGATAAGATGGCAAATGTGCGATGGATGGACTCCAAATTGATTAGCGACCTGATTTTGCGGGGTACCTTGCATAAGAAATGCAATGGCACGACCCCTGTCAACTTTGGATAGTCGTGGCATTTTTTACGGTGAACTGTTTATGGTTGAAATGTGGGAAATCAAGACGGATATATCTGAAGATTCGCACACATAGATTTTGAACCAATCCTTTATGCTGGGTTCGAAATATCTGCTTTTGTCTCCTATTCTTTTGTACAAACGGCGTGCGCAGTTTAGTTATGCATCAGTGATTTTAATACGGTGCCATAAAGATCTAACTCAAATGCACAGATTTGTCAAGTGTCAAGGATGTACGTCAATAATTTAATTTACAATATAAACTTTCTAGGTCATTATGTATAGATGTATGTGCGATGGGTATCCTAGGTGATTATGTATAGATGTATGTGTGGCAGGTGTCCTAGGTGATTATGTATAGATGTATGTGTAGTAGGTATCCTTGGTGATTATGTATAGATCTATGTGTGATAGGTATCCTATGTAATTATATATACATGTATGTGTGATAGGTGTCCTAGGTGATAATGTATATATATATATGTGTGATAGGTGTCCTAGGTGATTATGTATAGATGTATGTGTGATAGAACTCCTAGGTAATTATATATAAATGCGTGTGTGATAGGTGTCCTAGGTGATTATGTATAGATGTATGTGTGGTAGGTGTCCTAAGATGTATGTATGAGTTGACTAACGAGTGTTTACTTGTATGGGTAGGTGTTGTGTTTTACCCCGATATGGTGCTGAATTTTACATGCTAGTGTGCTAGCTTTCTTCCGTTCTCTTTGTTGTTTTCCTTACCATGTATTAAGTGTTGTATGTATTAAGCAGTATACGGTATATAAAATGTTTGAATTTTCGTGTCTCTGTAGTATTGCATGGGTTTTAAGCTCAATGTCCCATAATTAACCATAATATATCCATTATATTCTAGTCCTCCGATCAGTTCTTTTTTGTTTTCTTATTTCAACTTTCATAATCTGTCAGTTATATCCTTTGTTCCTTTTCTTTTCGTGCTCTGATCCCCTAACATATCTAACCGTTTCTCCTTCTTGATTTCTCTTTATGATCTATCTCTCGATAACCCTATGCTATTCAGTGTTGACAATGTATTGATTGGCGCCCATTACCAAAACTCGTTATACTCTCTGTGTGTTAGTATACACGATTATGGGTAATTCATTTGAAGCGTTTAGGGCATCGATCGGAGGGTTCAATGGTAGTACTTGCTCGCTTATTACATCTTCCAAAATCTGTTTAAACTTTATGAACATTTTGCTATCGTTACTTTTATCGTTACCGAAAGACGTCCAAGGCGTCCTTTCGAAGTGTACATTATCTTCTGCATGCATCTGAATTCTACAGTACTGATATTCCTTACATATTCATCATTTTCATTCTTAGTGGACATATTGAACGGAATCTCGGGCCTGACAACACTAGTGACTTTGACTTGAGTTTACTCTCCTTAATCTGCAGAAGCATAATAAACTAATTACCATTCTCCATTCCATTATCTTGACAACAATATTGAAAATGAGCTTTTGAAAATTCCTATTGATTCTTTATTTGACCTGTGACCTTGAAAGTAGGTCAAGATCATTGCTTTTACCAAACTTAGTAAACATTCATCCCATCATTGTACAGGCCAACCTTCGGTGTATCATTAGTAATGAGTACTAGGAATGTACATATCTTTAAAAAGCATGTCCATTGTTGCTTTCTTGAAGTTTCACATCATATTGATTTAATACTAGTTATGCGTTTCCAATGAATATGTCGAAAGATCCCATAATGTTCGTTGATAATGATACGACGTTTCATTAAATGATATTATAGACTTACCTGTTCGCCAGGTATAATTCCATAATCCACCCCAGTTAGACTGTTTTTCATAGCAAACAACTTCATAAGTGTCTCCAGAATCACGTCGTTTCCTGTCCTGATACAAATAAGACATGCCAGATGGCCCTGCTCCTATAACACAAACTCGAGTGTAACCAGCCATGTTTACCTGGTAAATCTGACAGCACAGAATCGAGTTAGTTCGCAATACACCTATCTTATGTAGAACTCTACTATACACACTGGGGCTATTACTGTGACCATGTGAATATATACAGTTACTATCATATCCTAGAGTTAGTGCCCCTGGTTTCACTCGGTCAGTTGGAATGACAGCCGATAATGGACGTGACGAGAATGAAATTTATGAGTGAGAGCCAAAAGACCAGGGAATGTAAATTTTATTTTGTTTTCGTTCCGGTAATATATTCTCACTCACAATCACTGTATTGTATTTCAACTTATACATTTAAAATTGTTATTTTTACAAGAGGGATAAAAAGAAAAATCAAACTTTAGGCGAGGTGCAGTAGACCCATAATTTAGTGAATTTCTTAATTTTCATATATTAGACAATCTTAGAACAAAATCAAGTACATGCACTGTGCCACCATTTAAATTAACCAAAACGTAGCACGCTTAACGTATCTATTATCTATTATTGTCGCAGATCTATTGGGTAAGTATAGCCACAGATGTCGGCGACATCCTCCATACTTTGAGAATAGATATAATCTGATGTTGTAACTGCTTCGTGCATCAGATGCTAAATTGTTTATCTTACACTGTTTACCAAACATTAACATAAACTTTTGATATATCATTTATATTTGTATATATCAAGTTAAGTGGAAAATGGCAAAAATGTGTTAAAAACTTCGCTTTATGAGAAAGTTTTAAAAGTATCAAATTTCGTAATAATGCTTAGAGCTAGGACTGCCGCTTGAAAGGTATATGGCAAAATTTTCTTTGAAAACAAAAAACAATACAATACAATACATCACAATTACAATTAGATAATAGTACAATACATTTGATCAAAGTGTCATGTGTCAAACCTTTCATAATATAATATAAATACTTTTGTAGTGTGGAACATACAGTAAGCTTGATACCTAGCCTACTAGTGTTTAATAGACATTATATAATACAATATCTACTAGTACCAAAAAGGTGATGAACATAATAATGAAAAGAATATTCTTCTTCCATACATCTTGTAAACTTTGCTTGCTTAAAGATATTACAAATTGGTATCGTTCATTAATTAAAACATGGGGCCTCCGTACATTGTTTAAAAACTGGACAGGACTGTTCAGCTATTACCATGAAATGAGCTCTGATATCTGTGTAGTAGTTTCAATAAAAATGGTGTTCGTCTTCTCTACAATTTAGGTAACATAATGTACAAACTCTATCTTCTAACGGTATATCAGGACAAGAAATATCGATCATTATATAACTCTTTATGCCATTCACAATTATCAACATTTACCAAATATTTTTTTGCTGACATAATAAATCCTTTGTTTGATAAGGAATTATCGGTAGGCAGAAGATTTAAGTTCTTGTCTCTCATGAGCTTAATAACTCTCCCAACTACAGTTGACAGAAAGAAACTAGTTATAAATTTGTTGGGTTTTTTTTCTTTGAAATCTTTTCCACTGTGGACATCTTAAATTTAACAACAGTCTACCACAGTAATGTTGGAACAGTGTTTTCCGTTCCAGGAAAGAATCTCCATGCACTATTTTGTACAGTTTGGACGACACTATATTTGTTATGTTCACATATTGCACTACAATAGATAAGTACAGGTTAAACAAGTGACGGATAAAGATGATCGAAGCTTGACATCGACATCCCTCCATCGAGTTTCAATTTGGTAATAACTGCACCGGGGACTTCATTAGCTGATTTAGCTAGCTCACGCACAGGTACAGAAAAAACAAAATATTCTGCACATCTGAAATGTCATTGCATAGCGTTCTCTCTCTCTCTCTCTCTCTCTCTCTCTCTCTCTCTCTCTCTCTCTCTCTCTCCCTCCCTCCCCCCCCCTCTCTCTCTCTCTCTCTCTCTCTCTCTCTCTCTCTCTCTCTCTCTCCTCTCCTCTCCTACTACTACTACTTCTACTTTAAAGACTTCAGATAGGTTTAGCTGATACTGGTTCTGGTTATCTGTGGAAACCAGCATGGAGAATCCATAAAATTGTTGCTGATATGACACAAATCAGGCTTTTTGAACTTGTCCATACATGTGGCCGCGATCCTTCATCGACACGCTAATTTATAAAGGTTTGGTTTGTACATAAGGGAGTGAATGCTACAAACATCAGCAATATTTTACACCAAATGTCAATCTACCATTTTATCATATATTCAAAGCAGGAACACCACTGTAATTTCCTTCAGTTACTCCAAGACCATTACATCTTTTCAACTACAAATAACACTGCAGCAAGTAAATGCATGTAGATGACCTTAGACCTAGTCCTCGGTCAGCTTTTTTATGGTCCACCTGGGCACATAGTTGCGGTGATTGAAGCATTATTCATATTGTTAAGCTGCATGAAGAATCTCGTTAATTGGAATATGAATGTCAAGATACTTATGAATTCTGTTAAAAAACTATGCAAGAGAATTGGTGAAACGAGAACATGTTGCGATGAGTTTACTTTCTAAGTAGGCTTCAATCGGTCCGTCATTCGTAAAAAAGCTTGAAATTGAAAATGAAAAAAAAAAACAACATTTTTTTACTAGATCCTGATGTTAATTCAACACTTCAATGTTGTACTGTTTTCTACAATCAGAACTGAGCTTGCTAGATAACGAAGGAACACCTATCTATACGTCATACAATCTTCCAAAAGGCAAATACTAGTTATGCTTCGGTATTACAATCATTCAGCTTGCATCTAAATGATAAGGATACGGACCTCCCCCGTTTATATCGGTCATAGAATATGGTATTAGACGATAACAACAATCGGTCATAGATTATAGAATAGGTCGTCTGTGACGATAACAACAGTCGGCCAAAGATTGAATAATATGTAGTCTGTGACGATACCGACAATCGGTCATAGATTATAGGATAGGTCGTCTGTGACGATAACAACAGTCGGCCAAAGATTATATGATATGTAGTCTGTGACGATAACGATAATCGGTCATAGATTATAGGATAGGTCGGCTGTCACGATAACGACAATCGGCCATATTTTATAGGATAGGTTGTGTGTGACGATAACGACAATCGGAGTTAGATCATAAGATAGGTCGATAGATTCTACTTTTTAACGTCACATAAACATATGATCAAGTGTAGTGAACGGTGTAGATATGAAGACGACATTGAATCCTGTCCTCAAGGTTGATGTAGATGACAATCCACCGGGTCAAATACATATAAGCTTCCTGATATATTCCGTCGGTACGGACTGCGCGTCAAAAAAGTATCATACGGGACAATTCTTTATCATGCTGATGTCCTAAGGCCTTGGGGACAAAACCCTTGGTAGTTTCCATACAGACGAGCATGGTTTGGAGTTTTCACAGTGACGAATAATGCTTCAGGGATATTGCCCGTAGCCATTCTCCCGCAGACTTGTAGGACAGAGCCGTTTGAAGTTTTCACACAGGCAAGCATTTAGGAATAGTCTTCAGCCTTTCTCATACAGAAGAGCAAGATTTGGGGACATAATCCTCAGTAATTCTCACACAGACGAGCAAAGCTCGGGGGACATAACCCATAGTCTTCCTCACACATATATGTCGTCTCCATAAACAGCATGGCACATTTCATAGCACTTAATAGCAAAATCGTAAATAACAATTCCGAAGAAGATCAAAACAAAAATCTCAGTGTTTGTTTATATGATGATGTAGTAGTAGACTTTTCCTACCTTGTTATCGTGATATATGAAAATACATATTTGATATATTCGTCAACCTAAGAAATATTTCTTCAAATTTATTATATTCTCCAAGTACCCGCAGGCAAACATTTCAAAGTTTCATAGTTTATATCATCACAAGTTGTAGAATAGAACTGAGACGAAAGGGCGGGTTTGTTTCTTACCCGAAAAAGTTGTTATCTTAAGAATGATATTTGTTTATGGTATAAAATAGATATGGCATAACCTGTGTCCACATTTACAGTTTATTTCCAATATGAGAAATGTTTAGGGAAATTTGTCACACAACAATCACGGTGAGTTGTTACTTAGGTTCTGCAAGATCATGCCAATAAGGTCCAGGGTTCACACATATCAGCCCATTCCTCTTTATACAAGATATATTCACAAGCTAGAAACATAATTAGTAGACATCATCCAAATATTGGTAGATATAATAGTTGACTGTTGTCGTATATATGAGGAACTGTTAATAGTCACATGTCAAAAATATTAGAGACAATCAACGGTGCAGTTGTCGAAAACGTTCCCAAAATAGATGACGGTTTGGAAATTTTATCAGGATACTTTTATTCTAAAAAAAATCTGAATTCTTTTCGAAAATAAAACGAAACAATAATTGTTTTTGTTTTCTGGCGTGGCACTTTAAAAATCACGATAAAATGTGAAGGTTAAATTCAAGACTTCAAAGACAAGGATCAGCCTTACCATTGGAAACAGTTTCGAAAAATTTTTAAGTAAGAAAGAGTTATTCCCCTTACGCCAGTGCCTCCAGGCTCCCAAATCTTTTTGCCAAGATTAAAACAAATAGTTTGTTATTTTCAAGAACTAATTACCTCAATAATGCCATAGAATGACTCCAAACCAACGAGCTGATAAACAACGAGGTTGTCGTGACTATAAGGGCCAAGCCAAAAAGACAAGGATATGGGATGAAAAGACCAAAGAAATGGATGTACCTGGCATGCTTCATTGCCATGTAGCTTTCTATTTTAAGAAACTGTTGGTTTTGAGTTAGTTTTCTGGAAGTAATTACATGAATAACTGATTGATATAACTTGTATTTTATGCAACTCAAATTACATTCAGCTTATCATTTGAAACTGAATACAGGTCTTAAACATGACAACGATGAAATGTGTTCAGTTACTGACCTGAAAATCTGGCTTGGATCTATGTGTACGAGGTATGGAAAACTAACATCAATGAATCTGGCGATGGGACCAGAGAACATACCAAACGGGACAAATGGATTGTTAACAAGTTTCAGATTCTGGAAAACTATATCGTTCGTGTACCAAGCAGGCAGGCTGTTAGTGTAAGTTTCAGTACAGGTACCTTTTTTCCAATATTTGTTCCCCCCGGGTAGCTCAGTTGGTAGAGCAGTGGCTTTCCATATTTCAATAATGTTCCTGTTACATATGTTTGTCCTTTCCCAATTTGTGACTTATTTTGCACGTTTGGTTTCCAAATAATACGTTAGATCCTTTTACAGCCCAAGGCAACGATACTACAGCCAGATGGGTTTCCAGAACCACAGCAAGGGCCAAATGGATTGTGTAGTTAGTTTAACGAAGATGTCCCTGAAGAGGATGACAATGACATATCAGAAATTCCCTGCAGACCGCCAACTAGAAAACAAAGAAAATCCATTGGCACTGAATCAGAGGTTGTCAGTAAACTTATGGTGATGTCCGACAATGCTGTCAAGGTCAAGACGAAGAAAGCTGGTAAGGGCAGGTGACTCCGCTTCTTCTAGTCACACACTCTGATCAGGTTATGCACTATATCCAATAGCCAGCTCAGATAAGAGAACAAGAACAGTGGCAATTGAAATAGTCATCTCAACAGTGTGTAGCCCCCCAGCAGTTTCAGACTCCACTTCAACCGTATACTTTCAAACCATACCAGGGAGATTCTGCCCACCAGTATATGAATGTCCAGTCATTACAGCCTGTTCATATGTTCCCGCCTGCTCCACAACAACCACTTCAGCAACAAGCACATCAGCAAATTTCATCACAGCAGCAACTTACCAGTTTGCCTAACAATATTTCTGCCTTGAATACCAGTCTACCTAGCACTGTTTCTGCCTAGAATACAAGTCTGCCGTACACTGTTTCTGTCTAGAATACCAATCTACCTAACGCTGTTTCTGTCTGAATACAAGTCAATCTAAGACACTTCCTGTCTAGAATACCAGTTTGCCTAACACTGTTTCTATCTAGAATATCAGTCTATCTAAGACTATTCCTGTCTAGAATACCAGTCTGCTTATAACTGTTTCTATCTAGAATGCCAGTCTGCCTAACAATGTTTTTGTCTAGGTTACCAGTCTGCCTAACACTGATTTTTTTTTCTAGATAACTATTCTGCCTAACGCTGTTTCTGCCTGAATACCAGTCTATCTAACACTGTTTTTGTCTAGAATAACAGTCTACCTAACACTGTTTTTGTCTAGAATACCAGTCTGCCTAACAATGTTTTTTCTAGATTACCAGTCTGCCTAACACTGTTTCTGTCTAGAATACAAGTCTGCCGTACACTGTTTCTGTCTAGAGTGGCGAAAGTTTTTTTTATCTAGAGTACCAGAGTGCCAAAAATGTTTAAGTTGCACGAATCCAATTGAATATGTGCATGTACAAGTTTTTTCTTCCTTCCAACTGTTATTTATATAACGAACTCTCTATTTCCTGTATTGGATTCCGCCTCTTTGTCGAGAGTTGAAAGGTGAAAGACCAGAGGAATTAACCGTTGATTGGTTAAGTAGATGTAGTATGATGTTAAGATTAAAGTTAATGATAACATTGTATTACCAAGACATTGCATTGATTCTGTCAGATTCAGGAAAGAAAGTGTTTCATAAGACATACTAACAAATGTTTTGTGATTTCCTCTTTATCAATCTTAATGGTATTTAAAAAAAATTAAGAATATTTGATTGGATGGCTGGTTTTTAACAATGGAACTCGGATGGCTACAATGAGACTAGATTGACTTTCAAACGACTTTCAACAATTATTCTTTTTTAGTTTGTAAGTTGATAGACTCGTTAACTACAGACTGCAGTTTGGATTGAGTTACATAACGTGAATATAAAGATAAAATTTAAACATGTTTGTATCTGCACTAAATGTTATCTTATATACCTGAGTCATGCACATATGTCAGCTTTGCGTGTTTTTGTGTTTGTTTTTCTTTCTTTTTTCCACTAGTCAAGGTCGAATGGCATAGAAGCATTCCATTGTATATCAGAAACTGGAAACTTCACTAAATCTTCTTAAACTGACATAAGGCTATATAAAGGTATCTCTTATATACACATGTATGTACATTATTCCAGTGAAGTAACCATTTAAAAAATTAAAGAAATACTGCACATGAAATTAAATAAAGATTCAAAATAAACAGAATATGTAGCTAATTTTAATCTTAATTTTGCAAAGATTTTATTTATAGGCATATTTTTTTATCTGATAATTGATATCACATGATTTCACTGTAGTTAATAACTACTGGAAAAAAATGTTTCATTTTAATACCTAATAGCTCTTCAGGGCTTGAGAATTATGTTCTTTATTTGCAACAAAATATAAAATCCTTGTTTGTTTTAAATGGCTTTATCTATACTGAAAATAAAAAAACCCGTAAAGTTTGTGTTCTTACCAGAGGCTTGCCTAGACGTAGGTCCCTGCATGCATTTGAAAGGATTCTTCACGAGCATATTGAACGTATTTGGTCGCGGACATTCGCTTTTTCTATCGACCTGCAAAACAGAAAATGGAAGTTAAATAGGTAAAGGTAGTTCAAGCTTATATTTGACAGGAATAATCTGGAGTTGTAAACATCTAAACAGTTACGTAAATCACACAATCTTCATTATAGCAACACTTGGAGATTTCTTTATCAAAATACATATATGAAGGATGTATTGAATTTTTACCTTTTAGGTAGTCAAACAGAACAGCTCGAGGTGGAAAGGACGGGATAGCTTTCCCGAAGTTATCCTCAAAGGGGTAGTCTAGATATTCCAGGCATTCCTTTGGTCCAATGGACCAGAGGTCCTGATACATACTTCCATGGCAAGGCTCTCCATACTCGTCTAAACCTATTGATGAAATAAAATTTCAAGGTCATGGCAATGAATAATGGGGTCACTGAATGACGACATCACACTGAAATGTCATATATGACACAGAATCATTACAAATAACCTGCAAGTAAAATACCTACCACTGGCTTACAAGTCCCGATGCACCCACTTTCAGACTTGCCTTCCTTACCTATGCACAAGTTCAACGAAAAGGCTGGAGGTAAGATCTGTCAGACGAAACCTCAAGATGACAGAAAGTGTATATAAATTGATCTTTGCTTTGTTAGTCATCAGTTTGTTTCTCATCTCATCATACCAAAATGCACCTTGAACTACTAAAGCGATTACCATTACATCGCGTCAACGTTTAATTTGTATAGAAACTATATTTTGGCACATATATATACATGATTAGATGCAACTAGTGATTATATATCAGCTATGTATAATTGTGTGAGATTGACATGATGTTAAACCTATCATTTTCAACAGAAGATATTTTTTTGCACAGATCAAAATGATTATGTGCATGTACACGGTTATTTTTCTCCTTTCCAATTGTGATTAATTCAATGAGATATACCTTTTCCCATCCCTAATACTCAGTGAGATGTCTCCATTTTGCGTCTAACATGTTTATAGTTAGTTTGTTGGCGAAATAAAACCTGAGAAAGTACTTGATGTATAACTTTGATATATGTCGGAAGCCAGATAAACAAGAGACCAAATGATTTTAACGGCCACCTTAGTTGCAATGTTGTCGTTCTAGATGTAATATGTCAGGTAGTTATGTATGGAAATATGTGTGACAGGTGTCCTAGGTGATTATGTATGGAGATATGTGTGACAGGTGACCTAGGTAATTATGTATAGAGATATGTGTGATAGGTGTCCTAGGTGATTATGTATAGATGCATGTGTGGTAGGTGTCCTAGGTGATTATGTATAAATGCATGTGTGATAGGTGTCCTAGGTGATTATGTATAAATGTATGTGTGGTAGGTGTCCTAAGATGTATGTATGAGTTGATTAACGAATGTTTACTTGTATGGGTAGGTGTTGTGTTTTACCCCGATATGGTGCTTAATTTTACATGTTTGTGTGCTAACTTTCTTTTGTTCCCTTTGTTGTTTTAAGTGTTTTATCTTTTAAGTAATATACAGTATATAAAATGTTTGATTTTTGCGTGTCTCTGTAGTATTGCATGTATCTTAAGTTCACTGTCCCAGAATTAATCATAATATATCCATTATATTCTAGTCCTCCGATCAGGTTTTTTGTATTTCAACTTCCATAATGTTTTGTCAATCATATCCTTTGTTCCTTTTCTTGTCCTCGCCCCCTAACATATCTAACCCTTTCTCTCTCTTGATTCCTCTTTATCTTCTGTCTCTCTGTAACCTTAAGTCATTCAGTGTCGACTATGCTCTCATTGGCGCCCATTACCGGTACTCGTTATATTCTCTGTGTAATAGTATACACGATTATGGGTATTCCACCTTTTCAAAATAATGTGACGCTGACATGACGTCAAAGGAATTTCATTCATAAATTCAAGGCGTGACGTCACACGATCTCCTATTCCGAGTCGCTGTCGCTCTCGATCACCATGATTTGTGGTGATATTTACGGTGATTTGGCAATTTTCAATGTGAGAACCAGCAAACAGCGAGTTTCAGATTGTTTCTGTGATACAGGATTGTAGGTGTTAATCGTGTTTTCTTGTTGTGATGACGATGGTAAACACACTGTGACATCAGATGTAGGCCTAGTAACTGTTGAAGTTGATGAAATGGTGGCAGAGGATGGTGTTCAGTTTGATGGAATTAATTCGGAGCTTTTTGTGTTTTACAACATATTGGAATTCATGTACTTCTGTCTGTCATTCAGTGTCCTGTAATTATTCAGCGACTGTGTGTTTTTATGACCCGTGATGTAGCCCTGCAAGGTATCGGGTACATGGATGTTGGTCATTTTTTGTACAAGGGATTTTCGGACGCTAGTTTTTTTCAGTCGTTCACAACCAGGTAGGTTTGCTTTCTTCGCCATCACTCTCATTATATTGTCGAGCTTGCATTTTCCCACAGGGGCACGCAAATACCATTTATCTTTAACATTGGGACCTTTGTCGTTTGTAACTGCCGCCAAATAAAAGAGTTGCCTTCCCTGAACACAGATTACTCCGCGCACGTGTTTGCACATGTAAGATAGAATTTTCTTACATAGCAATCTTACATGGGCAAACTCTATCCAATATGGCGGGATATGAGAGAAAAATATGGCATCACCTGCGTCCACACTTACAGTTTATTTCTAATATGAGAAATATTTAGGGAAATTTGTCACACAACAATCAATCTTTGTGAGGATATCGTTCACGATGATCAACGTTTACGTGAGTTATTACACTTAAGATACCTTGAAACTAATGAACTGTTTTAATCCTTAGGTTCCACAAGATCGTTCCAATAAGGTCCAGGGTTCACACATATCTGACCTATCTCTTCTTTATACAAGATAGATTCACAAGCTGGAAACATGATTAGTAGACATCGTCCAAATGTTGGTAGACATAATCGTTGACTGTTGTCGTACATTTGAGGAACTGCTAATAGTCACATGTCAAAAATATTAGAGACAATCAACGGTGTAGTTGTCGAAGATGTGCCCAAAATAGATGATGGTTTTTAAAATTTTATCGGGATATGTTTATTTTTAATAAAAGTTTGAATTCTTTTCGAAAATGAAACGAAACAATATTTGCCATGCCCACAAAAGACAGTTATATGTTCTTGTAAAAATCAGTATCAAATTTAACGAACTTTAGTCCGTTCGAAAGTAGGAAACTAAAATTTTATGCGTTTAAAGTTTTTTATATCTGAGACTTACAAGGGAAAAAAACAGTAACTTGCTATCTCTCGAGAAGTCTCTTGACCTTCTTGAAGAGTGTCATACATTAATTAAAACCCTGTCAAACGAGTGTTACGATGACAACGTATGGTATGAATTATATGATAAGTCTGTTGATTTAGAAGGAAAAGAAGACATTCTCTATTCCGAGAGGAGCTGCAAGGCAGATGCATCGAGGAATGCGCCGGCAACAACCATTTCTGAGTATTGGAAGAGAAATTTGTTTCTGCCGTTTATTCACCATCTAGTCATTAACTGATAGGTTGGCATTGAATCAGTACAGATTTAATGCGCAATTTCTTTTGCCTACAAACCTTCCCAACATAAACGATAGGCAGCTGGCTCTAATGTACGCATCGTTCGGTGATGACATACCGACCATTGACAATGTGCAATTTAATAGGGAAGTTCAGCGTTGTAAGGTCACAAGGCAAGACGTTACCATATCAGAGAAATCAGCAACAATCGGTGCAACACTGGTCGCAAGCAAGGAACCGAAACTTTACCCGAATGTCTTCAGGGTGTCTACAGATTCTCCTATGTATGCCTGGTACGTCTGCAACTGCGGAATGTTCTTTCAGTATCATGCGTCGGCTAAAAACACCTTAGATCAATCATGGGCGGAGAGCGAATGTCTTCTCTGGCATTGTTACACGCGTATCGTAAAAAACTCCATAGATTAAGACAAAGTAGTGACCCAGTTTGTAGAAGCAAAACAACGACGATTGACTTTTGTATAGTAATCAAGGACAGTAATTGAAGTCATGGGAAAATATCGTTGTGGATATGTAAATATTTTTGTATGTACAATTAAGACGTCAATACAGAATTTTCAGAAATAGAAATAGTGACAACTAAAATACACCCCTTAGTTACCACGTATGACATTTTTGTCTGGTTTCTCTTCGGATTATGTTAGGGGATGTCTGTGAAATTCAATAATATGTTTTACAACATATCACAGAATGTAAGTCATGACTTTCACGGTATGTGTTGTGTATTAAATTTCTCTTGAATTGCATTATTGTATTTCTCACTTGTATATCTCAAAATTGTTCATATGTCGACGTCACTTCTGTACATCTAGAAATACCAAAAACTCCAGAGAGACCACTATATCCCCCTACGAAAGGGATGCTTCCAACTGCCCTTCTCACTTCTCGTATTCTCCTGGTTTCATGCCTCGACACTCTGTCGGACCTTCGGTCCCAGCGGGCTTCCATATTCATTTTGGCCTGGCTACGAGCCTGATGTTTAATGTAATTCAGTAGGCACACTGTGCAGAAAAGATAATCGTTTTTAGTGGATCATATCACAGCATGTATATACACGGCACATAAAATCCCCCGGCGGTGTATAGCGCCGCTTTTTCCCACGACTGTGAGCTGTATACGTGTAGACATGTATTACATAATCTTTCTAGGTAATGATATACCGACATTTAGGACCAGTGTGTGTGTGGGGGGGGGGGGGGGAGTCTCAGTGACATTTTCATGTGCCTATATGTAGGTCCCTGCATACATTTGAAAGGTTAGTTTTCAGTTGAAATTGAGTTATTACCTATCAAATGATACACGATCAATTTTTCCCCATGTACACACAAATCGATATTCAACAAGTGATGTATTTAAATTTATTTGTATAAATGTTTTTGACATAATGTACATGAGAATCTATAAATCTTTGCAGAGGATTTGGTTCTTACATCATATTGTTCAACTTCTCAAGACAAACCTACATTTAGCTGGAAAGTACCCCAAATTGTAGAATATCACTACTCGAGCCTCCTTTACACAATGTGTCATACCACACCAACGAAAAATGAAAGTGATTTCAAAACAAAATTCCTACACTAGAATTAACATTGTATAACAATTCGGAGTATAAGATATAAATACATATAGTGAAGTCTAAAGTAAATATTAATTAACTACCCGCAAATTTCATTTTGCACTAAATTGGTGTACAACTACCCGTGAGTAGAACAATCATGCCATTTCCTGATCTTAGTCACTTGACAACTGAC